ACTCAGATGCACGTGCCTAACAGCAGCTTTTACCTCCAAAGGACTCTTGGTAGAAAGGCAAGTCTGTTTTCTTCTTGCAAGCCTCGATGGGGGTTAAGGAACGTCGAGAGAAGACGCAAGCGGCGACGTTTGCTCCTACGCACACGGGGCGAGAGCAGAAACCACCCTGCTCCCTGCGTCCATTCCCTGGGCAGCGGCCACGGCCGGCGCTGAACCCCCTGCACGAGCCCCCCGAGCCGCCCCGTGCCGCACGCCGGGGCTGGGGCCGGCCCGCTGGGCAGGCGGCAAGTCCAGAGCAGCCCTGGGCCAAACACGTTCAGGTGCCCCATCGCTGCAAGCGCTGCGGCCTTCTCTCCTGCGAAGATGGAAAACAAACACACAAAAAGTCCTAAAAAATGGTTTGCTGACTTTTATCCTGAATTTAGGACACCTGTATAGCCATACTGTCCCTCAGCCTCAATTTTTATATATATATTTTTTAACCCGAGCCCCTTTTGCATGCAGTCAAGCTGCTGCTTCGTGCTCTGTCATCCTGGCAGAGGAGAGCAGCATCGGGGAAGGTCTAGGAGCCTCCAGCAAGTGCCACGTTGGGCTGCAGACCCCCCACTTCTCCCGTGTCCTCCCTCTTTCCCTGTTGTTGTTACTAAGCCCATCCATCTGCCAAATGTCAGCGGCCGATAAGAACTGCCCATTTCTAAATCCCCACTTGTAAATAGATGCTGGCTGCCATAATTAATGTCTGCCCGCAACCCAATTTGAATTACAAAGCGACGGCAATTGAGAAATCAGCCTGCCCCTGATTACAATGGATCCGCGGCCTATAAATTCCCGTAGCCCCAGGAATTATTTAAATTTGGGAGAACGGATGAAAATCAGTCCAAGATGTCTTTCAGGAAAGCGAGACCAGCCTGGGGAGCACTGGAGATAAACTAACCAGTCTCTGAGATAAAGGTGCTTTGGTGCAGTAAGACCCACGGCTCTGGGCCACCACGGGGGCTTCTCACGCTGGCAGGGCTCTTATCTGCTCCGCCACCTACGCAGAAGAAACCCCCTCAGCTGATAAGCGCCTGACACCGAGGACCCCTGCCCGTCACTTCCAGCTAGCCGGGTGGTTTGGGCAAACATCGCTGCGCTCCATCGTTGCTCCATCATCATCGCTCCATCATCATCGCTCCATCACCGTTCCATTGCTCCATCATCGTTCCATCTCTCAACTGTTCCATCATTGCTCCATCATCGCTCCATTGCTCCATCATCACTCCATCGTCATTCCACCGCTCCATCATCGCTCCATCATTCCACCGCTCCATCATCACTCCATCGTTCCATCGTTACTCCATCATCGCTCCATCGTTCCATCGCTCCATCACCACTCCATGGTTCCATCATTGTTCCATTGCTCCATTACTCCATTATCACTCCATCCCTATTCCATCGCTCCATTGCTCCTCTGCCAGCCGCAATGAYGCTCCATCCCAGGAAGGTCAAGGGAGGATTCAGGAAGCACGGCGGGCAACGCGCTCGGAAGCACCCACCATGGACTCGAGTAACTCACACAAGGGGTTTGAGCGGACAGCAAACGTTTCTGAGCAGCTTAAGGAGAAAGGCCAGGAGCACAAGCGTGACTCAAAGCAGGGGTACASATGTGCTCTTGAAAGCCAAAATAAACAGCTCAGTTGCTTCCTAAAGATGTACGTGCTACAGGATCTGTACAGATTAGCTTGCATTGGGTCATGGACACGGCTGCGGGACGTGGCTCCCATCAGAAGGACAATCTCATACAAAACCGGACACTCTGCCCAGCTTTCCTTCTTTCTCCTCTGTCTTTAAACTATCACTTCAGACTTAAAGTGAATTTCTTTAGTTTCCTGTTAGCCCTTCTTTCGTAAAATCAGAAGAAACGATCTGAGCACCCAGCTTCACCAGAACAAAAACAAGTGGCTTTTGTCTTTGCAAACAAAAACAAACGGCAAAATCCCAGTGCCACAAAAGAACCAGGACCCCCCCTTCCAAGGAAGCCAGCGTGCCACTGCACAGTTCAACCCCGCACACACAGCCCAGATGATAGGGGTGGCGATGGCCACGTGATAAATTGCTTTTATCACACACCTTTGAGCAGCTCACCTGCGCGGGGCTCCCCGGCGAGGAAATGTTAGCATTCCACAGCTCCCAGCGCTTCCAAACAGCTGCCATTAAAAAGAACACAGGCACACACACAAAGCAAACCCCAAAGCCACAGCAAAGAATTCCACCTCTGCCCAGAGATAACCTTATCTTCCTCTTCTGAAATGTGCTTTCCCCAAATTGCACTGGCACAAAATCCCGGGATGGTGGTAGGCTGCTCAATCAGGCTTCAGAGTGTACAAATAAAGAGCTATTCGGGCCAGGAATGGAAGCAATCATCACTGGGAACCACTGTCAGATTTGCAAAAGATGTATAGTATAATAAATATAGGCAAATACCAGCTTCACTAGAAAGAGCCTCAGGTTTTTACCCCTGAACATGCAATGCTGGTATCTCATGCTGGAAGCTGTTGGGATATTAACCCCCGAAACAAGAAAGTTATGAACACATCAAAGACAAACAAATGTGAGGCAGCTCCATCTGAATGGAGACATCCTGATGAGAAAAGCGGGACTCATCTCTGGCTATTATCAAATGACCAAGAGCACCTCACTATGCCGTTCATGGACTGTGCCATGGGATATTATGGAGCCTCTGGTGCACAGAGACTGCAGCAAGGGCCACCCTAGGGTAAACACCACGGCCTAACACTTGGTTATCCCCTGCAAAGGTAATTACGGGTCTCCTCTTAAAGATTAGTTTCCCAAAAGCAGCAACATGCAAAACAATGCGAGTGCTGTACAATTACAAGGAGACAAAATCCACAATAAACCCTGAGCTGCAAAGCCACCAGCTGAGCTGTGAGAACCTCCGAGAACCTAATGAGAACAGTAGCTCTCTGACTGCCTTCCTTCCCCCTCCTCTTTGTTACTGGGTGGAATAATCAGTCTTTTCTTAAACGAGGTGCAAATGTAGTTTCACACCTCTACCTAAAGAACCTCAAGTCTCCAAGCTCATTACCTGTTATTAATGAGCTAAGCAACTGTAGGCGAACAGGTAAGAGAAGGGTGCAGATTACACTGTTGTGCATGGGCTAYRTGCACACATACTCACACTCAGAAGGGTCTAATTCTGCAAGGTGCTGGACCCGCAGTAACAGAACGCTTTGCATCAGAAATTTTGGTTGATAAAGTAGTTGGTTCCTTCTATTTGTTCCTTTCTTTTTTAGCATTGTTTTTAATACAGCATCGCACTGAGATCCCGGGTTCAGGTGAGCGGACGCTGCCCAAGGTGTTTCAGTGCTAATAACTCCTTGGCACCACCTTCCACGGCCGGCTCCACTGCCCGGGGTTATCCCCTCGACAGCAGAGCTGGCAGACAGGACCACGGGCAAACTCGGCGGCAAATTGTACACGAGCCGCCCAGGGCTTCAGCGCGGGGCTCTGGGTGCCGGCTCCAGGCAGGAGCCCTCGGAGCACGGAGCAGGGCGGCTGCTCCGGCAGCTGCTGCGGGAACTGGGGCTCTGCACTGCAGGCAGAGCAGGGCCACGGGAGAGCCCATCTCCCAGCATCAACCAGGCACGGAGCTGCTGAGGCCAACATGGAAATTCCTGAGCGCCACAACATCAAAGATCTGACAGCAGCCACAGTGATACAGTTCTCAAAATATGTATTTTTTATATTTTTATATCATTATATGTTTAAATCATTTATATATATATATATGTAATATTTTAAAAGCACTTATTTTGTGCTTTCAAGTCATTCTCTTCTCTTTAGAATCAGAGAGCTTCCAATGTGGTCTGATGTGCATTCCTTAACATGAGGCACTATACACACACCTACACACCATGTATGTCCAAATATAAAGAAGAACTTCCAAAGACACAAATAACACAGGTTGTGAAGGAGTAGTGCACCCAATTCAAAAACGAAAGGGAAAGAAAAGCCCTTCATCCCAGCTCTGGATGAGCTCTGTACCAGCACATTCGTACCCGGGCAATTCAGCCCGACTGTTGCAGGGCGGGTGCAGGTACCTGCAGAACGGTGAGCTCTGCAGTTTGCCCAGATCCAGCCACATTCTGTCTGACAGGCTCCTTGCTGGAAGCATTATTCAAGCCTTRACTATGGAATACTGTGGGAAGAGTGTGTGCTAACAAAAAAGAAAAAAAAAGAAAAAAAAATCTTAACAGACCTGTTAACCCAACTTCATGAGTTTCTCTGGAATAAAACTCTGCAGAGTTACTTTGATTCTTAAGTTTCTAGCTGGCAGGAGAAACAAGCTCTAATTGTGTCAGTGTTTCGCTGCTGAAGAGATCAGAGTTTTATGAGGGATGTAAAACCAGTTTGTAGTTACTAAAATAGGAATCGTCGTCYGCTTTTCAAGGAGCGGGCTGGGGGAAAGCAGCATTTATAGCTCAGCGTTTAAAAGCCCGCGACTAGGACACTCTCCAGTAAATTCATCGGAGGATGTCTTCTGCCATGTGGAACAAGGGCAGTGAACACATCTGGGCATTTTCCTGCTGAAAACTCCTGCCTCCAAGTTGCATCTAACTTGTTGTGCTCTTGATCCTTAAATCACTCACCGTTTTCTTTCGCAGCAATCCCTTTGGTTAACATAGTGATTCCCTTTCAGGCTTTGCTAAGGTGACCTAAGCACATATTCAATAAGAACATGTATGTTTTTTACTGGCTAACGTTTTTGTCCCTACAACGTCCCCAAAGGCAGCACGACAGGGCTATGCTTGCTCCTATGGGCTCAGTGCTGCAACCCGAGTTGCAAACGGTGGAATACGCTGCATTTTGAAGCAATGTTGGGTCCTACAAATGGAGGCCTGAGAAAAACCATGGGTTACTGAGGAAGGGGGYGCGCTGGGAGGGCGAGTTGGGGCACCCGTGGGACATGGACCATCGCGGCCGCCCGCGCTGTTACTCACCGGCGTCCAGGCTGCCCGTGGCCGCCGTCCAGCCCATGACGGGCGGGATGGCGCCGACCACGGCTCCCACCCACGTGTTGGTGATGCTCAGGCGCTTCAGCGGYGTGTAGCAGCACGTGTAGAGGAAGATGTTGAAGGCGCCCAGCGCGCCCGTGAGCGGGTTCACGGCCAGCGTCAGCAGAGCGATGCCCGGCRCGCCGCAGGCGGCGGCGAAGCACACGGCGAGCAGCGGGCTGCGGAGACAGACACCACATGTGGCACACGCTGCAACATCCCCCTTTTTTAAAAAATCAGTTCTTTTTTAACCCAAAAGTCCCCGTCCAGCCCAAATGTTCCTGTTTGACTTCCACCCTAATGCAAGGCTTTTAAAAATGCTGAAGGCAACGTGGTTACACAATTGCAATTGCTGATTCTTTCCTGCCCCTGCAGCGTTAAACAAGTGAATTTCAGCTCTTTGGGTAAATAAGCTTCTTGCGGAGGTGGTGTTTCCAGTAGACTCTTCTCATGCACTTTGGTTTTCACCTTTGGGAGTTCTGAACACCAGAAAAAGCACACGGGGTTCGGAGCAGGTAGCTCAGCCCGTTTGTAACCGATTGCCATTTTGCAGTGAGTCCTTTGACCAAAATACAGCAGAATGAGACACGAAATGAGGAAGCACTGAAGAGGAGGAGCACGTGTTCAATCACTTTGAAACTACCTCAACAGGAAAACAGGGTTTTTTTGAAATTTACTGAGAAATGGCTGAGTTTTTCTGCACTCCCATTAACCTGCTGCTGGGCTAAGCAAGGGTAACACACTGAAGCCGCCCTGGGGACAAAACTCAAGCTAAAAGTCATTATCTTCTGGGCAAAACTGCAGCTATTTAGGCCTGGCTGCAAGCAGCAAACAAGGACGCCGCTAATTTCTGCTGATTTCTGGCGCACGTGAGCGAAGCTCGGGGCAGGCTGGACGTCCCTGCCCTGCTCTCGGTGAGCCGAAGCCCATTCGCARCCTTTGCCAATTAGCTGCGCAATAAACATCCAGCTGTGATGAACAAGGAGCATTTTGTCCCGGTGGCAAAAGCTGCGACACCCGCATGCCGCCCGCAGGAAGGTGCCCGGTGCTCCCCTGCATGCCGGGAACACGGTTGCTGCTGCCGCAGGGACCTCTGCACGAGCGGATCCGAGAGCAACCGCCGCAGCCGGCAGGAGCATTAATGTGTCCGAGAGCAATAACGTGAGAGCGGTGCTGGGGGAAGAAAACATCATTAACCGGATTGCTTTTAATAACCCCTACAGCTAAATACACACTTCTAGTCGTCCACACAAGGTGGAAAATTCCCGTGCTTGCAGCCCATTTCTCTGCATGACCCTCAGCTTTACACATCTTGTCTGCTGTGAAACTATGCAGCCTTTGTATGCCRTGATCACGGTCAAGTCTTTAACCCTAACATACTGGCTGCTTTCTTTTCAGCAAAGAATCCCAGTGTTGGAGTTCTGCCACCTTTGCCAGACCAGAGCGGGTGGACAAATAACCCCTAGAGCCAAAAGGAGCACATTGCGCTGAAGGTCCATCTCAAGCTTGCATTGGATTGACTGTGCTCATGAAATGCAGCATCTCATCCAGCTTTCCAAATCCACGCATGGATCTGCAGTGACAGAGCGGGCGCTGAGCACAGCCGTGCCTTGCTGCAGCGTTACGCGGTGCTACCAACACGCTACAGGTACAGCTGGGCGCCGTGTTGCCACCGGCGGCAGCGGGACGTGGAGCCGGGGCCGCTCCGTGGGGAGCACAGGGCTCCGGGCCCTCGGCTCTGCAGTCCCGTGTGCCCTTCTATGTCAGAGCAGCGAAACACAGGGGCAGAGCAGGCGCCCACCGCGACGGCTGCTCCCGCGGCCCCGCTTTGGTAAACGCACCCACCTCGGCTGGAGGCTGAGAAAATAACACAGGCGCAGGGCGCAAAGCCCAGCTTGACACAACTCCAACCCTCCTGAGGAGGCCAAAAACCAGCTTGGGTCTTGGCGGGCACATTTGCCTCTCTCGGGCTCTTCGTTTTTGCCTTTCTCAGAGGGAAGTTGCTGAGGAGGGTTGGATTATTGGCTGTAATACTCCTAACACTCTCAGAGGAGGGCATCAATCATGCATGATAGCTGTTCCTCAAAAGCAGTTGAACCATATTACTTTTATATCTGTAGAAAGGGTTGCACTTTCTGTTTCTCTCCAATTAACTAGCATTTCCTCACAAATCAAAGAAATGTAAAATTCTCCTAAAAGAATAACTGTCTGACTGGCATGTGCCTACCCCAAAGCTCCAGCTGAGACCAGACACTCCAACTGTGATCTAATGGCTCAGATTTGTTATTTCTACCCCATAAAACGCTCCAAAATTACAAAGACGCTGCGGTGCAAAATTGGGATCTTGCTTTCTTGGGGATCCATGGTGAGAGTTTTACTCCCTTCCACACTAATATATCATCTTTGCAAGGTCTAACAGAGCATGAGCGACTCTCCGTTGGGAGATAGGGAATACTTGGGGAAAAAAAAAAAAGGAGATTTCAATCCTTGGTGCAGCTTTTTGTGCCTCCTAAAACCCCAAACTCACTGAAGATAGGACTACCCTTGAGCTTAAATCGCAGCAGTTTAAGAGGTGCTCTGAGTTCTGATGGTTTGTGGTCTTCTACGCACCACGATGTGAATGTTTTCTAAGACCCACCATCTCCCCATCCTCACAGCAGATGTGCCCAAACTCACCGGCACTGACCCCGATTCAAGGCCTGCCCCCTCGTCAGGGTGTCTGCATCTCACGTGGGCAGCACGGAAAATCCAGGATCTCCCACGGGATCAGGAGAAGGGCTATGCCRCGGCCCTGGGGACGGGTCTGCCCCAGCACTACGTCACCCCAATACTCCTTATGAACTCCAGGCACGATGCTCTGCAATCTGCAGTCCAAGCACCAGGGTCCATGGGCACGGGGTATCTCCATGCTTGGAAGCAGTGGTCACTCCTGTGGTCATTTGTGGTGGTCACGACAAGTCGCGGTCACAAACGGCTCTGCCCTCTCTGCTGTCTCCTTCACCCTTAGACCATCCCGCACAGCAAGGCTCGGCTCATGGCAGGAACCGCTACGTAAGACTCAGCTCACTTGGGCGTTCACTTATGCTACGGGAATTGCTCCCATGGGAACAAAAAATCCATTGGAAAACTGGCCAAAGAGCTAGCTCACAAAGAAAACAGGCTGGGTAAGGAACTGGGTTTTAGGATGGATTCTTGGGAGGAGCTGGTTTCACTTATTTGGCTGATTAAAATCAGACTCGAAAAAACTACCGCCAGTGCCAAATGAGTTGTCTCCAAATTTTAGTTCAAAAACACACAGTATGTCACCRTGCAGCGCCCTTCCTAAAGGAAAACCCAAACGGGACAGCGCTGCCTCATGTCCCTTCACTCCTTCATTGGGAATGTCTATGTCAACACATGGCCAATAACATCCCCAAAGGACATTCGTAAAAACTTATGAGGGAGCTTTAGCCCCCAAAATCCCAACTCTTTCTTGACCTGAAGAAAACTGGTTGACATTTTGCTCCTACAGAGTTGGGGATGGAGATGGAGCCTTCCTAGTCACACTCCACCAAAAGTGTCCAGGAAGAGGAGGAGGAGGAAAAGGAGGAGGAGGAGGAAGAGTGGCCAGTGTTCCCATCCAGCCGACAGGGAGCAGCGCTGAATCTACCCCTTACAGATGGGCTGGTCGCACCTCTGCAATGATCTTGCACACGTGCCTGAAGGATATTTGTTTAATAGGCTCCGGAGTCATGGCTAATAGCACTTATTGACTCACAGCATTACATGGRAAAACTGAGAAAGGGGAAACAAATGAACCCATGTGCCCATCTRTAAAATGAATGTACTATCTTACCTATTCTGCAGCAGCGTTAGGAAGCTTAATGTGTTCAAAGATCAATAGTTTCACCGATATACACGTTCTCCTACACTATCTTTGGCAAAACATTTTGTGAAGAGGGCTGCTGAAGCACTACAGAACAAAACCCCGCTTTAGAAAAGGGAGGAAAAGAGGAAAGAGCAGCAAGAAAAGCTAGAGGAACTCCCTCCTCCAACTGCCTCATCTCTGCGAGTTTGCTTTACCATCGCCGACTGAGATATGAATCCAGAACACTGCTCCAAAAATATAATTCAATAAGCATCACAAGCTGTTTATCATTTCTGGAATCTCTAGGTACTGAAACCACCCCAGACTACTCACCAGTACACTCTCCCTCAAACTTTTTCCAGGTTTCTGGAGCCATTTGTAGACAAAAGCGTCAGTCGGAGGTTTTTACATTGTAAAGCAACAAGGAAGGGCTGCAGCAGTGGACGCAGAGGTGTCTTCCTCTCAACAGTTTTTATGGGCACCAAAGTGCACATGAAAGAACACCCACAGCAACCGGTGGGACCAACGCCCCTAAAGCACCTCAGAAAACCCTCATCCTCTGCAGCTGCTGATTCACCCAAGTTTTGCTCATCTCCTGGCATCCCTTTATTCCTGCAGCTGGGAATTGCCACCAACCAGCCCCAGGTCACTAGGACTATGAGGATCTGAAGCCACAGCTTGGACACCTTCCTCTGCATCCGCCAGGGATTTCTTTTGCTTTCCACTTTAAGATCAGCACCCAAGAAGGTTTTAGAGATGAACCAAGAAAACCAAGGAGGGCSGGGAATGCTGGAGGTCACTGAGGACAGTCCCACCGCACGAGCCCTGGAGATGGAGGAGAAACAAGGAGCTGAGGGTGCTGACGGGACCCCAAGCCCTCCTGCTGCTCGGATGTGGCAACGGGGAGGGCAGCCCATCTCCCCACGCGCACTGCTGGGCTGGGCTGGGCACCTCCCAGCTCCGCTTCCCCGGACACACGCACGTTTGCAACCAGCCAGGGATTGCCTTCTGGCACCGGTACCACGAGGTCAGCTAATTCCAGAAAGAAGGAGCCACAGGGCCGTAAAAGGCACATTTTGTCACAACAGCAACTGCAGCTTCCCTGAAAGGATTTTTGATAGGAGGCTAAAAAGCAAAAGCCCACTCTCTTAACTTCCAAATTTAAAATAAGGTAAAAAAGCTTCCAAAACCAATCAGCAGTCACGGCCGACAACTAAATTATGGCAATCTACCAGCAGTGAAATTAAATTTTAACTTTCCGCACAAATCCTTCCAGGCTGTGTATTTATATCCTCAGTAATAAAAGCCACATTCGCGGTCTTTGTCATCTGT